AGAAGGAGAAAGGAAGGAATTGGGCAGCCATGATTAGGTGTTATTACCATTGATTAGAGGAGGTTACATAGGGTAAAATGATCAGCCATTAATCCCTCAAAGCTGCTGTGTAAATCAGCCTAAATTGGGCTTAAATGAAGCGCATAAACAAGCCCCATAATACCTAGGTTCAAGGCTTTTCTTTAGGGCTTGATTAAATGATTACATTAGCTTAAGAATGGGTTTAAGAAATCTAATAAACAAGTCTATCTTAATATAATTATTCATGAAAGCTTTAAAGATAAACCTGACCCATAGATAAATGCTAGTTGGCCCAAAACTAGATTAGGAAAGAAATTTAACGGGAGGCATTTTAAAACGCGTTCCAAAAATGATAATATAGATTGTATCATTGATATCTCAATAATAATAATGAAAATAATAATTTAAATTACAATACGGAAATATATATAAAGTTCATATATACCGAAAAGCGATATAAAAGACGAAAAGCGAAACCAGTAATATTATTCATTTATAATGACCTAATTAATAAAAGGACATTATAAGGAGTTTTATAAATAAAAGAATTAAAGAACACATTATAAATAACACCAATTTGGTAAACGAGTTGACAGAATCACCTAATACAACTTTATTTACCGATATTGATACGATAGCATGTAAAACGTTTTTAAAACTCCAAAAATCATTTTTATACCTAATAGATTGGTACTTCAGTCAAGGAATCACCCATGATGACCCGTATCAATCGCAATAGGTTAAATATCGAAATTATATATAATTTAGCAACACTTACTGAATTATTGTTTAAGCTTAAGGAATCATCCTTTAAGGCTAATATCAATTCATACAAGTCAAATACAGTTGAAATGGTTTAAACTTAAACATAAACCTTTTAAATAACTTTCAATCGTTTCGTTAAAACATTTTTATAAGGATTTCAAAAGCTTGGGATGACCCTTAAATCAAATGACGATTTTAAGAATTAAATTAACATTTCAATTTAGAAATTGATATTTAAATTAGAAATTAGGATTTATAGGTTGAAACACACATAAAATAATGGTTCAAAAATACGGGGTGTTACACATACGCTAAACTCACTTCAAAACATGTAGCACTCTTCATCGAGAGAAATATTATTTGTCGATACGGAGTCCCACATGAAATGATAAGTGACAATGGAACTCACTTTCAAGCTGAATGTGAAGAATTGCTAGAAAAATATGGTACTCAACATCATCATTCCTCCTCTTATAGGCCTCAAGCAAATGGAGCAGTTGAGGCAGCTAATAAAAATCTAAAGAATACCATCAAGAAAATGACGGAAAATTATAAGGATTGGCCTGACAAACTTCACTTTGCATTATGGGGTTATCGTAGGTCAATTCGCACATCGACAGGAAATACGCCATTTTCCTTGGTTTATGGAATGGATGTCGAACAACCTGTCGAAATAGAAATTCCATCTCTACGCATTGCGTTAGAGAGCAAACTCGATGAAGTTGAATGGACTAGAGCAAGATATGAAGAGCTAATTTTACTCGATGAAAAACGACTAGAAGCTCTACATCACACTCAATGTTATCAAACTCGTATGGCTAGGCATTTTAATAAGAAGGTCAAGACAAGAAACATCAAAGTAGGAGACTTGGTGTTAAAAGCATTAAGGAAAAATGTTTTAGATCCAAGGGGAAAATTTAGACCTAATTGGTCTAGACCCTACATTGTCAAAACAAACCTGTCAGGAGGTGCAGCAAAACTAACTGACATGGATGGCAATGAGTTCTCGAACATGACAAATCATGACCAACTTAAGAAATACTACCCATAATTACTTGAGTAGGATACTCAAGAGAGCTACGTTTGGCCTGATTCCTTAAGAAAGGATACGTAGGCAACCCTTTACTAAGTCTAATAATTGGAAATTCCAAAAAAAAAAACTAAGCAATTCTCTTAACCTCAAATTTGACCATCCTAAAAAAACTAAGTCTAATAATTGGAAATTAAGCAATGCTCTTAATCTTCTTTCTCTTTCTTAGCCCTTTTCCAATCCTTGTCTGCTTCATCTTCTTCATCCATAACTTTAGCTAGTAGGAATTCCTTTAGAGGACCTACATCAATCTTAGAGTAAATAGTCCCCTTCAGCTAGGACCCCATGCTTCTTTTCTACCCAAGCTTTCTTTTCTGTGGTGTCAGCTTGCTTTTTCCCTTTATCTTTTGCAGTGCTCTTCTTCTTAGACATTATAGGTGTTTTGAACTCAATTCTCTCACCCAAGCGTTCCTTAACAGGAATCAATTTGTCTCCTAGACGACTCTTCACATCAGTTTTACTCTGATTTTTCTTCACGTCCTTTGAGGGCTTCTTCAGAAGACACTTTTTCACATCATTGGGCAAGGAAGGAGGATCCTTTTGGGTAATTACTTCCCATAAAGGTCTAGCACTCCAATAAGCATCAAATTTCTCTGATTCGTGGGAGACAGGGAACTCGTAGGGACGACGAAGATCACTAGAAGGAATAGTCTGAAGTAGGCCGTATTGTCTTTTTACCCTGTAGGGATAATAAAAAGTCATACGAGACAAGCTTGGAAGACGACATAAAGGTTGCTTTTTGACACCAACCATCTTTTCTTTTTTCCACCAAGGGATGACCCACTTGATGGTAAAATTACAAGACTCGAAGACCTTCTTCCATTCATGGCGCCCCATCTTAGAGAAGCGTTTCTTCCTTCTCACGAAGCAATTTGGAGTATATTTCTCAATGTTGTCCTGAGGGCTAATAAATTCCAGTCTTTCCATTAGCCACATCTGTAAAAATTGCAATGCAAATAAATTATTATTACCATACAAAAATATATTTTTGATTTCTGTAATTAAAAATATTATTTTTCAACCAGTAATAAAATTGGAGACCCCGAAAAGGTGCTTTTGGATTTTTCTTCAATTCGTCAAGACTAAGCATAGTCTCTCCAACTATTAAAGGCATTGGATTTCTCCCAGATTCAATATGTTCTAAAACTATGGATATAATTGACTGGCCCTCATTATTTTTACCACTAGTAAGAAAAAATTGATTAAGCATGCAATACAGGAAAGCCCTTCTTCTATACACATGGAAAGATTCAGAATATGGTCTATCACACTAATGGCGAGCAAATTCTTTCAAATTAACTATGCTACCATCTACTATTTTTGATAGATCTCTGTCGTTTAAATTAAAGAAGCATTCGAAATCCTTATAATGTATTCATCTATTCTAGGGATTACTACAAGATCTAGTGCAGGGAAACCTAAAATAGCACCAAATTCTTCCGGCAAAGGGCTAATTTCATCATACCCTATTCTAAAGCAATGAGTATCTACATCCCAATATTCTAGAGCAGTATGAATAAAGTCTGAATCAAGATCTAACTCTTTTTTCTCCTTGGCATTAAGAGACCAACACCATTCATGAGTATAGTTGGTAAAACTTTTGGAGACTAAAGACATGATTTTATTTTTCTAAAAGCTAAGAAATATTTTATCTGCTGAAATTATGAAGAAAATCGGCTGGGCAGGGGGCTATTTATGCACAAAAATCAGAGCAGTTTCAATCCAGGAAGGATTCGGAGTCAGCGCTCATTAGCGCCAGATGCCAACTATTGGCGCTGACGCCCTGGCGCCAAACGCTAAGTGTAGTGCCTGGCGCTACACCAAAACGCGTGGCGCCAACTGGCGCTAATATGTCTCATCGTACGCGCTTTCACAAAACCCGTGTTTTTTACTTGATTCGAGTCTACTAATAACTTTACGATTTCCTTATCTTTTTTCTAAAAATTCATTTATTCCTCCTTCTTAATTAATATAGCTATTATATTAATTATATTATTTTTCAGATTTTATTTAGACTAACTTCCAAAGTTTTTATAAATCCAATATTTTTTTATTTGACTTTTATTTTCATTTTTTCTTTTTTTGGGGGAGAAATTCGGATACCCTCCATCAATAATAAAAATGACTGAATTTTTGCGCAAAATTACTTTTCACATTTCCTTGCACACACAAACATGCACATCACAATAATAAAAAATGAAAAACATGATAAAAAAGAATAAACTCATAATAGTATGTATATACAAAACATGTCTAAATAATGAGTCTAACTAGAAGGAAAAGTTCTATAGAAAGTCAAAATAAATAATAAAAAGCACAGGAATAAGCTACGGCGCCGGGGGACGTACATCCATCATCTCATAAAACTGCGCCGTACGAGGAGTAACCTCTCCACCAGCTCCAGCGCCAGCTCCAGTTTCCTCGGGAGGAGGAAAACACAGCACATGACCCGTCCACCCAAGATCTACTTGAGGCTGAGGTTGCGGAGGCTGCTGTGATGACGAGCTGACCTCGTACATCCCACCACCTCTAAGAGCCGAGGTAGCCTCTCCCTGGCCTACCGGCGCATCATGTGCACCCTCAGATGAAGAGCCTGAGCCCTCTACCGCCTCGGTACGAGCAGCCTCAGAACGACCGCCCCGACCTCCCGAAGCAGTGCGGCGACGTCTCAAGCTAGACCTCGCCGGATACCCCCGTACCACAGGTCTCGTGCGGGTACGAGAAGGAATGGGCTGACCCTGGAAAAGAAACTAAGATCAGAAACATGCAAAGTAGAAGCGGTAATATAAAAACATAAGAATGGAGGATACCTCCTGAACGGCGTCGTCTCGACGACAGGTAGCCATGTTCCTCATCCGGACGAGCTTGCTACGGAAGGCATATATGCATCGTGCCATCGCCAAAACCATCTCGCGTAAGAACTGTCTAAGAAAAAAGTCAGTAAACATGCATAATATATATGGACAAAAAGTTGTAAATAAACAAGCTTACCCGAGTCTGGTGACGAGGAATCGACCGCTCCACAAAGCGCTCGCCCTCAGGAGCCGGAGGTATCATGTCCTCAATCGGCCCATATATCCCCTGATAGTGGTTAGACATACGGGGTGGCACGAACTCAGCAAGATCATCCTGAAAAAGAAAAACAAAATCAGTAAAGCATCACTTAGGGGCTACTTAACGAAAGGTAAAAGCTGAAAATCATACCACTACATCCTCAGTAGGTACAAAAATTGGAGCTAATAACGGTAGTAGCTCCTCTCCATAGCATCGCCCAAGGATCGTGTAAGATTTCCAAGGGGTACCGGCTCCCTCTGACATGCTCACCAACCTCGTGGAGTTAAACATGTGACGTGGTGGAGGAGCAGGAACGACAAAGATATCCGAGGAATGCTGAATAACAACCCTCTCTCCAAGATATGCGGCCGCTCCATAAGTCCCCAAGAAATAGCGACGCTCAGCAGAATACTGCGCGACTAACCAAGGGACTGCCAAGTCGACCCACGGTCGATACAAAACCTCAGGCTCCTGCAAAGAGCGTCTATCAGGCGAGAATCTAGCTACGAAATCACAAAATGTTCAAATGAGAAAAGAATCATACCGAGATGATCCAGTCTCGGACATAGGCAGTGGACATCCCCACACGGCGGCTGCCCTAGGAAGCACTAGCTGAAAGCCTGCACGGCGACGGTCTCGCCGGCGCAGCTGAGGGGAAGTACTCGTAGAACCAGATCTACAAAAAGGCAAATTATAAGCAAATGCTAAAATGTAGAGCTTAACTTTACAGGGAATAAAGTATACCTCTATGACCCTCCAAAATCCGGATAGAGCAACATTCCCCCCGAAGAACCGATGTCGACACGAGTCCCGCAACGCTCGGATGAAATCAGCATAAGCCAAGCTGGCCCAGTCGTAAGTCCCGATCCGGTGTAGATCGCGGACGGCAGGATGGTAGTAAAGTAGCGCCCTACTACCCTTGTCAGGGGAGAACGTCCCTGACAGCAAGATAAGTGCAAAGATGCGCACCCGCTGCTCTCGGGTAGCCGCACCATCATCAAAAGCCGCTGCTAGAGTCGAGCAGCGAATCCCCCTAGCACTGAACTGAGTCGACTCTACCTCAGCTCGAGCCCGAATAGAAATCGGACCCAACAGCTCCTCGACCTCAGGAGAAAAGACGTCGATCATACCGTCATCATGAAGTCGGTAGGAGAGACCATCATCTCACCCCAAGGGAAGTGGAAAGTGTTGGTGGTGTCCCAAAAGAACTCCACCAGAGCACGGATTACATGGTGACCCCCGCTAGAGGCAATCATGGCCTCGGAGGTCTCGAACAGTGCAGTAAGCCCGCAAGACTCCCATAGAAGTCTCGCTTGATCATCTCTGGCGATGTACAACTTGTACAGATTGCCTAAACCGTCACAACCGGAACCATGACAGCATGTCCTCCCAACTGTGACACCCCGTCTCACCCTCTCCGAGATATGATGGACGGGAGAAAAGTACAAGGTCCGCTCATCCCACTCAGGGAGTCAACCAAGCGAAGTGGACGGTTCAACATCGTCCTCAATAGCCTCATGCTCCCGTCGAACGTCTCGGGACCGTGAACCAGAGCCTTGCTGTCTAGCCATGTTACATTATACAGAATTATCATAAATCAAGGTTTTATAGTATCTAAGGTTCGCCTAGGCGCATGATACTATGTTTGCAAAAAAACAGAGTACGTAGTACTAAAATAGAGCACAAATTCAAATTGAGCATATACGGCATTTTTCAAGCAACCAAACAATTTTTTGCAATACTATGGTAATTATTATGACAAATTGGACAAGAATTGCTAGCAAAAACATCAAGAACAAGCCACATTGTTTTCCTGACCTTAAGAGGTTCAACAATGGTGATTTGTTCATTTCTTCAACAAATTCAGTCAAACAAGTCTCAAATTACTCTCAAGGAAATATATAAACATAATTAAGAAATTTTATGGCATAAAATTTGATAAACAAAGAGAATTGAGCAATTTAAATTTTGAATTTTCAAGAAATTTGAGAACAAATGCGTACAAAATTCATTGAAGCCGGCGTGAGTTTTAAAGAAACTTACATAAATCGGGAAAATGGATGGAATAAGCTTTGATTTGCAACTAATTTGAGCGAATTTGGTTGAGAAACGAGCAAGAACGAGTGAATTGAAGTTATGAGAATTCTCGAGCAAGAAACACGAACAACAGCAGCAGAAATGAGGAAGAGAAGGCTATTTAAGGAAAACCCGACTCTAGAGCCAAGCGTCAGACCTTGGTGTCAATCAATAAGCTTAGCGCTTGGCGCTAGCTCAAGCGTCTGGCGCTCCAGCGTCTGGCGCTACGGCCAGAAAAGTGGCGCTGACGTTATTTTAGCGACGCCAGAATGTTCAGCCACTCAGTACGGTTGTTCTAATTTTTTGCAATATGTTTCGGGTTCATTGGTACACCACTTATCCCCTCTAAGCAATTTGACATGATTTTTAGTAATCGGCTTGATTACATAAAGTGATTGACCTGATGAAAGATCGTCTCACTTAGCTTAAAGCGCCTAATCATTGGCTCATCGCAAAAGGCACTGACATACTGGTTCATTCAAAGAGGCATCGACATACTGGTTCATAATTCAGCGAAAGGCACCGACATACAGGTTCAAAAGCAGCAAAAGCGCCGACGTACAAGCATGGCAAAGTTCAAGCGAGCTTTTAAAAGATCGACAAGCGGAGGTCTTCGATAATTTTCCTTGGAAAATTATCACACAAATGAGGATAGCTTCAAGCGAGGATATCTTTGGCAGCATTCCCTAGCTTGTGGAGAGTTGTCACAAACAACTAAAGGTGATTTCAAGTGAAGTTTTCTTTGATCGTGTTCCCTAAGATGTGGAAGATGGTCATAAAGCGAAAGAGGATCGTTTCAAGCGAAGCAATCTTTGATATAATTCCCTGGCTTGCGGAAGATTATCATGGCAGAATTGGAGCAGTTACAAGCGTAGCATTCTTCAAGCGGGATGACATTCTCTAGCTTGCACGAAGTCATCAAAACAGTAAAACGGCAGCAAATCGGTTACTTTCACAGACGTGTGCACGACGGTTAAAGATACGCGTTTCTTAACTCACTTATTTGTTTAACTAATGCTAGTTTTGCAGGTATCGGCGTTACAAGAATGATTTAGGATCGCAGAACGTTGTGAATCATTCTCCGTCCCTATCGATACTTTGACTTTTGTTTTCGAAACTTGCGTTTCTCCAAACTCAGTCAAAGGGGGCGCTTCTGTAGACACCCATTTGTGTCTCCCCAAAACCAAACCCGGTGATGAGTACCTTTCACGTCGAATCATAATCGAATGAAGTGAAAGTGTGGAAAGTTTAGTGTTGCGGATAGTTTTAATTTCTTTTCTCTTCTCTCTGTTTTGGAAACCTATTTTGAGAAAACAGCCAATCCAGTTTGTTTGGTCCATGATATGGGTCCAATATTAGTGTAGTTCGATAGGGCTTCAAAAGATATTTCCGACGATATATTATAAGCCTAATTCCGATGAATATTGAGGAAGTTATGGCCAATTTACTGAACTGGGCCCGGTTTGATCCTCATATGCGGCCCAATGATCTAGAGGAGGGCCTAATATAGATTTATCATTCCTAATGCAATTAGGAATGGTTATAGTCTTCTAGATTCTTCTAGAACGTTCTTTTCATTCCTAATTCAATTAGCATTGATAAATTAACTTTTGTTGACTATTAGAGTTTTAATCAGAACAAAAGAATGTTTTTGAGGAAAAATACAATTTTATCCTCCTGTACGACAATATCTATCTGATTTTAGAAAACGCGTCAATAATTAAGTTAGCGCCAAATGCCAGCATTAGCGCCTGACGCTAAGCTTGGCGCTTGGCGCTAGCGTTAACGCCTGACGCTAATGTCAACGTCTGGCGCTAACTTGGTTTTACGCGTCAGAACTCTGTTTTAATTTTTTATCTTTTTGGTTGATTTTCTTTATAAATAGCCTCCTAAAAACTCCGTTTTGATTCACCGACTCTCATCAAGAAATTCTTGATTACTCTCTTTCTCTCTCTCTTTTCTAAACTAGCTTTTCTCAAATACAAAAATTTCGCATTCGAAAGACTTAGATACACCTAGCCATATTCGAAGTTGCCTTCGCCCTAGACGTGAAAGGTTTTAATTTCTGAGGGTTTGGTCCCAAATCTCTCTTTCAATTATTTAATTTAATTGTTTGATTTTGTTATTTTTCTTGAAGTTACTAACGTGTGTATTTTGTTATTAGAAAGAGGTACGAGGCATCCAAGTAAGTACTTTTAATGGTTTTTATTGATGTTATTATATAGAGATCATGTTTAGGTTGTTATTATGATTTCTTGTATCATGTTAGGATGTTTTCCTTAATTTGATGTTTAGGGTGACAACAATAAATTCCTAGTATCATGTCTTGGGTAACTTTTATATCAAGTATGATTAAAATTATGATGCTTCCTATATTCTTCCTAATATTTATGATTGTTAGTATCATGTTAGGGCTAAAGCTTTGATTTTTATTGCTTAGTGACATGCTAGGGTTTGTTATTATTCTTGTTAGTATCATGCCTAGGAACTTGCTATTATTATGCTTTAACATGAATATTATGATTATTTTAATTATTATTTTTATAATTGTTATAGTTTGTGATGATTGTTATTATGTTGCTTTATATTTATTGTTATTGCTTGATCACACCTTTAATGCATGTTTAAAGGGAATTGGTACTTGTAATCACGCTTAATAAAATAATTAATAATCTTGTTTAGGGTTAATATGATTATAATTCAAGTGATCGCCAATAATAGTTTATTTGTGCATTAATATTCAACCAACATAGATAAACAGGTTTAGGGATAATCCTATTGATTGCATGTTAGTCAGAAAGCGCACATGAATACGATCAGAATAAAGTAGAGGTCTATTATTAGGGCTGGTTCAATCTCTTTTAGGTTGGATTTGTACCTTCATCTCCGAACTACCAGTCATGGTTCAAGACCTATTGGAGTTGACGATCTCCTGGATCGTTAAGTGGTGTAACCTTCAGCTCGTGAACGGTTTACAAGTTCCTAAAACTTGTTGGCGACTCTTTTGCTCTATCTTCTTTCCCTTTGGAGGCCACCGTACTTTAGTGTATGATCAAAGTGGGGTTCAAGCTAGGGATTAATGCTTGAAATATTCCCTACAATATCACTCATAATTGTATCTACAGGATGTGACTTCTGATATTTCCATTCCTTAGGTGTAAAGTCCTTTACTGGATACAATCTTTCCTCTTCTTTAATAACTGGTTCTTCTGTAGGAATTCGTTCTTGAGTCTTAGTTGGAACTTCAACAGGATCTTCCTCATTCTGATTTTGATTCTGTTCTTGAGGAGGAGTTCCTTGTGCATTCTCCATTTCTTGATCGCCATTTGCTTCAGGATTTGTTTGCTCAGCAATTTTAACTTTCTGCTTCTACGATGATGTTGATTCTTCTTCTGGATTTGTCTTGCGTACAAGTCCAATTTAAAAATCATCCTCACAATCTTGTACATCATTCAATTGTTCAGTTTCATCGAATATGATATGTACAGATTCCTCAACACACATTGTCTTTTTATTATAAACTCTATATGCTTTACTATTAGAGGCATATCCTAAGAATACTGCCTCATCACTACTTTCATCAAACTTTCCTAAGTTTCTTTTACCATTGTTATGAACAAAGCATTTACAACCAAAAGATCTAAAGTAAGAAATATTAGGCTTTCTCCCTTTGATTAGCTCGTAAGGAGTTTTGTTGGTGATGGCTCTAACTGATACTCTATTAAGAATATAGCATGTTGTATTCACTGATTCTGCGCAGAAGTTCCTAGGAAAATCGCTTGAGATCAGCAGTGTTCTAGCCATGTCTTCAAGGCTTCTGTTCTTGCGTTCCGCCACTCCATTTTGTTGTGCGGTCCTTGGGGCAGAGAAGTTGTGATCCATTCCATGCTCAGTGCAAAATTCATCAAATTTTGAATTTTCAAATTCAGTTCCATGATCTGATCTGAGGTAAATCATTGAATTACCAGTTCTTCTCTGTTCTTTCTTTACAAAAGCTACAAATTCATCAAACGTTTCATCTTTACTAACAAGAAATAAAACCCAAGTAAACCTTGAAAAGTCATCAACAATAACCATAACATATCTCTTACCACTTCTGCTTTGGATTCTCATAGGACCACATAGATCCATATGAACAAGTTCCAAAGGTCTTTTAGTGCTTACCATTTTCTTAGACTTAAAAGAAACTCGAGTCGGTTTTCCTCTAACACAAGCATCACACACTTTGTCATACAGGAACTTAATGCAAGGAAGTCCTTCCACTAGTTCCTTATATCTCAATTTATCAAGTAAAGTAAAGCTTGCATGGCCAAATATCTTGTGCCACAATAGAGGATCATTCTCAATACACTAAGACAAGTTAAACTGCTATTAGGAACCTCGTTAAAATCCACAACATATGTGTTCCCTTTCCGAGTTCCTTCCAAAATAATGTTCACATTGTCATTGTGAATGATTCTACACTTATTGGAAGTAAAGCTTACAAAGTTACCTTTGTCACAAAATTGTGAAATACTTAACAAGTTGTGCTTGAGGCCCTCGACCAAAAATACATTATCAATTGCATGGGAACTTAATCTTCCTACTTTGCCAATAGCAACTATATCTCCTGTCATGTTATCACCGAAGGTCACATTTCCCCCATAGTAGGCATCCAGTGAGAGAAATTTAGATTTGTCTCCAATCATGTGCTTAGAACAACCACTGTCAAGGTACCAAGTTTTATTCCCTCTCACTGGAACCTGCATAAGAAATCAAATGTTAGTTTCAGGAACCCAGGTTTCCTTGGGTTCCAGTGTAACAGCAGCAGGTTCATCATTCTTCTTGATCCAAATCTGTTCTACATGTTTTTCATTTTTCTGTGTACTCTTTTCTTTCTTAGGACACTTAATTTGTTTATGTCCAGTAATTCCACAGAAATAACAAACAATACTACTAGGCAGGTCAACATACTTCTTTTCCTTTTGGAATTTCTTTTTGAAACTCAAGCCTTCTGTTCTTTGGGTTTAAGCTTTGGTGATCCAATCTGGAAATCTGTATTCTACAAGTTGTTTGCCTTTCCTGGCTTTCTCAAGTTCCCCCTCAAGTCTTGCCTTATCCGCTTTTATATCTTCCAAATCAGATTTTAGTTTTTCAAAATTCAGATATTGAGAAAGTGGAAGAACTTCAGAATTAGGAGTATTAAGACAGAGTTTCATCAAGGATAGTTCCACATTTAACACTAAGTTATCATGTTTCAACCTGTCTACAGTTTCTTTCAAATAATTATTATCATCAAATAGAATAAAGAATCTATATTGAATATCAAATTTCATATTATCAACCCACTCACTGTTTTCTTTAAAAGTTACCAAAGCTTCATCACTTTGTTGTTTAGCTCTATGCAATTCTTTCAATTCTTCTTGAATATCTATAACAACAAATATTAAGTTTTCTTTAGAGAAATGTCTAAGTTCTTTTTGAGAAAACCATACCTCATATTCTAGTTCTTTAAGTTTTGCTTTTTCATCAGTTTTTGCCATCAAGAATAGATGCGCAGTTTCCTCTAACGGTTGATCTTCCTCTTCTTCTGAATCCGAATCTCCCCAAGCAGCCGGCATGGCTTTCTTCACATTGTCCTTGGTGAAGTAAGGCTTATAGATTCTTAACTCTTTGGATTGCTCCTTGCCCTTTGTCTTTCCTTTCTCACCATCTGGTAATGGACAATCTTTGATGAAGTGATCTTTAGACCCACATTTAAAACAGGTTGTGTTTTTGGAACTTGCATACTTCTTGTTCCTATAAGCCTTCTTGTAGTTCATCATCCTTTTGAACTTTCTAACTAGCATTGCCATTTCTTCCTCATCAGCTTCTGATTCCTCTGAGACTTGAGCCTTAAGAGCAAGACTCTTGTTCTTGGAACTTTCAGTATTGGAACTCAGGTGAAGTTCATGAGTCATCAATGATCAAGCTAGTTGTTCCATGTTAAACTTCTTGAACTCCTTGGCTTCTTGCATGGCAGTAACCTTGGATCTCCATCGCTCATATTGTGGTAGGCTCCTTAAGATCTTTCTTGCCTGTTCATCAATAAGAATGTGTCTGCCAAGGGAATTCAATTCATTAATAATATCATTGAACCTAGTAAACATTTCCTCTATAGATTCCTTTGATTACATTTCAAACCTTTCATATCTAGACAATAAATCAATCTTAGAACGTTTTACCTCATTAGTACCTTCATGAGTTACCTCCAGTAGATCCCAAATCTGTTTACAGACTTGCATCCCATGATACGATTATGTTCATGAGGTCCAAGTCCACAATGCAAATACTTTATAGCTAAAGCATTTAATTTAAGTTTCTAATAATCTTCCTTATCATAATCAGAAATAAGTTTAGGAACTACCTCCTTCTTATCATTGGTTGCAGTTATTTCAAAATCACTAGTTTCAATAACACGCCAAACCTGGTAATTTTCAGCCTTGATAAAGATCTCCATCCTGTTCTTCTAGTAGGTGTAAAACTTACCATTGAACATGGGTGGACGTTGGGTGGAATACCCTTCTTCAAGTTTCTCCTTGTAATTCATCTCTCCAAGAACTTACTTAGGAAAGTTATCTGCTTACATGTGAGAACATCGCTCTGATACCAATTGTTAGTTGAGACGTTTAATATAAGAGGGGGTGAATTGTATTGAGTTCCTAATGACTGCTTTTTGCTGATTAATAAACAATGCATATAGGAAATTACTAGAACACACAAATTTTACTAGGAAATCTTCCAGGGCCTAACTGGAAGTAAAACCTCGACCCTGCCTTAGGGATTTCAAACACACAAACTTCAATATAATAGGCAAACACCAAGTTACAACCTATTAGACACGGACCTTTATTTTCACAAGATCCTCATTGGACTTGCTACTTGATAGGACCCTATCCTACCCTATCTAAGCACCACACTTAGATTCACTCGTACAACCAAAGTACTACACGTACTGCCAAAGTACAACTACTTGTACCACCTAAGTACAAAACTCTCAGCCTCACCTAGAAGCTTACAAAACTGTATGTAAAACAAACAATAAACTCACCCAAATAATCCAACCTAATACAAGTGTACGACACCTAGTATGATAGGTAAGCAATGAACGAAATACAAAACTAATATGAGAAGTTAGAAGCTTGGTAAACTTACACAATTATAGCACAGTGATTTCTCCACGCTTAAACTCACAAAAACCTTAAACCATTTTGCTCTCTACTATTTATAAAAGTATCACACGTATAGAAAGTAGGTTTTCTAAAAGATAAATATGTTAACTTAACTTATCTTTAAACACGGTTTTATGTAAATCAAGTGGAATAAAATCTTTTCCGAAAAATAAGATTACAACTCTACCAAAGGCGCATTTCGCGTCATTTTAATAAAAGAGTAAAAACTAGAAATATAAAAGAAGGTGACTTTGTACTGAAGGAGGTTAGGGGTCCACCAACCGATCTAAGAGGGAAATTCAAACCTAATTGGATAGGTCCCTACCACGTAATTGAAATCCTATCAGGAGGAGCCGTCATATTAATGGATATTGGAGGAGATGAAATTCGCCAATTAATAAACATTGATCGCCTTAAGAAATATTGCATATGAAATCTGGATAAAAACTTGTTTACTCATACAACCAATTTTAATTAGCTTCAATTGAAAGATTTTAAGTGTTATGAATTTTACCTAATAACACGGTAAAATACATAACACTTGGGGGGTAATTTAGAAATAATTTTTCGTTCTAAGTGTTCAAATTTTTTCGAACATCACGAAAAAATCTTTAAACTTGGGGGGGGGGGGGGTAATAATACAAAATTAAAAAAAAATAAAAAATTTCGAGACATCCGTAGCACAGGTGTCGAGTGCAACTGGAAGAGTTGTGCGCATATGTCACGTACAACTAATTTCGTTGCGCGCGCCACTTGATGACGAACTGCGAACCCGAATTTTTGCGTTTAAATGATGTTGCGATTTCTACTTGCGGCAAAAGAGGGTGTTTCTTAAAAATAACATATACTCGGAAAATAAAATTAAACTTTGATTTAATTTTTTTAAACAAGGTTTGATTAATTTTTTCATTTAATTTCTATCTAAGAGATTAAAGAAAAGTAAAAAGTACATAATAATAAAAAAAAAACATTAGAACTACGTAAAGACCTGATTTCGTAATGCGAATACGTAGGCAATATTTATGATTCGGTCATATCAAAATATAAAAATGTAAAGTTCATTTTATTTCATTCAAATTTCAAAATAGAGACATTGTTGAACTAGATTGTAAACGAAAAAAAAAACATAGTAGTGATTACACTTTATTCGAAAAAAATAAACTAATGATAAAATTGTGTAACACTCTAAGGTTTTACAATGTCCTCGATTGTCACAAATTATCGAGGAGTAGTTTCCATCGCAACATTTTCAGAAACCTTGGAGCTTTTCCCTACGCTCTTCTTCTTCACCCATACATTGTTTTTCAATTTAGGGATTGGGGCCTTTGCAACCTGTTTTCCTTTCCCGTTATCTATTGGAGCTTTTTTGCGAGTATTTGGTGAAGGTTCTTTTATTTTCACACCTTGTTGCGCGGGTTTGGAGGGAGCTTTCCTTTTTGTTTCCTTCGAACAAGCCTTAGGGGATGAGAAGTCTAATTTTCTTCTCACTCCTTTGTTTTGGCCACAAGGAGGAGTAGTAGTGGTTGAATGCATCAAAAGCTTAGGTGGATTACGAGCGGTGGCGGCTTGAAATTGAGATCGAGCCTTGTTTAATTCACCCTTATTCGCCACATTCATCCAAGCCTTGTAAAAGGAAGATAATGTAATACTCACGGTAGGATTTTTTATTACCCACCTAGGAAGACTTGACCAATATTCCATCAACCGAGCAATTCTTTCGGGTTTAAAGATCACATCTTTATGAGCATCACAATCTTGCGGGGGAATAAATTGTCTCATCCAGCATTGTCTCATTACCCTACAAGGAAAAATATAAGTAGTACTAGATAGGCCTAAAAGCCTAATGTAAGGTCAATTGAGACTATTCTCAATCATACTATTTATGTTCCACCAAGGAATCACAAAACGTATGTTAGGAACCGCATGACAGAAAAACGACGTCCATTCCTCTTCATTCTTATGCATATAAATGATTCGACGTCCAGGGAATGTCTTTACTCCATTAGCCTCAAGGTTTTGTGGCTGATCAACAATTCGCAAGCGCTCCATGAGCCAAATCTGAAAAAAAAAGAAAAGAAAAATTAGTTTGCGATTTTTTACACAAGCAGGTGGCGCGCGCAACAAAATCAGTTGCGCGCACCCTCTACGCGCATCGAAGAAGATTGCGCTAGTCATGCCAACGCAACTTCGTGAATTGCGCTGATATACGCCAAAAAAATAAAAAAAAACGTACGTGTAATAGGAGTGGACTTCCTGTGAAACCGTTTTCGTTAGGATCTCCTCTAAGGCGATTCAAGCACAGAACGGTTTCCGCCAAAACCAAAGGAGCGGGTGAATGACATCCCTCTATTTGCTCTACTTTGGACACCATGGCATAATCTTCATATTCTTTGCCTGTCCTATGTAAACAATTAACAACAAGACAATAACATAAAGCACGAATTTTAAAGCGTTGTTTAGTCATGTTGTCACGAGGGGCGACAAAATGTTCAATAAATTGAATCAATTTCACGCCTTCTTCAGTTCCTATATTGGTCATATCATTGTCAAACAAGCCAGAAAATCTTTGGGATATAGGTTTGGGATCCGACAAGGTATGCGAATAAGTCACAGGGAGAGTGTTTGTAGGGACACCTAGCAAGGCCTCGAACTCACCAGGAAGGGGGACAATTTCGTCCCCTCTGAACAACAAAAGATTGTGGGTAGAGTCCAATGGTTGATCGCGGCATGAAGAAAATCAAAGTCAACCACTAGTTGCATGTAATTCAATTAAGGGTCTAAGTGGTAAATTTTGAAAGCTAGTTTGTCCTCGGTTGAAAGGGAAGTGACCCATTGCTTCATACGTTGTTCAAAGGTCTTCACCATTAATAAAAAAAAAGAGAGAGAATAAGAATTTAGAGAGATTAATTCTTTTTAGTTTCTTATGTTACTAAGCGAATGAATGCGAGATGATCAAAAGCCTACACGAAACCGCGTTTAAATAGACCCAAGAGGGGCAAATTTTCAGCAAATTTGGCTTAAAGGAAAGTTCACTAACAGGTAGCGCTCGCAACAAATTTACATGTGCGCGACAGCCGCTCGCAACTCACGCAGTTGCGCGCGTCTCCCCCGACGCGACATGTAAGTTGGGTTTATTTCCGTATTTTGGCTCATATAATGACGGAATCTTCACTAAATCTTAAGACGAATCATATTCCTGCTTTCTAACACTTTGTGTCCCTTTTCTTGCCTATTTTCTTATTTTCTTTTTATTTCTTTTATTATTTTCTTATTTTCTTTTTTTATTTCTTTTTTTCCTTATTAATTTCCTACTTTCTTTTTATTTTATTTTCTTATTTTCTTTTCTCTTTTTACTTCTTTTTGCCTTCTTTTTCAAGTTTGTTTATTTTTTCGAAGGGGGTAAGTCGGGAACCCTTTCCCCCCTCGAATTTTTTTTTGCATTAATAATAATGTACACATGGAAATAAAAAAATAATAATGACATATATACAAATGTGTCATATGTACAAAAATAAATATACATCGGTTTCCTAAAAAAAATATTTATAATAAAATGTGTACAGGAGGAATCAGGGTGCTTGGCAACTACTAGACGGTTGCTGCACATCCTACAAAATCCAAAACGAAGATTAATACATGAAATGTAATAACTTCGTTGCATAGAAAAAAGAAATAAAACTTACCGCGATCATCCGATGATCACGGCATGATAAAATCACGATGACTCTCCGATAAGCAGCTCGGAAAGC